TTTTTGTGGTTACTGTTATTTTTATACTGTCACTAAATTACCCATAGTTTCCAAAGAACATGTACAGGTATAATTATGGGGAAACAATACTTTTTGGGAATGGTAGATGAAAATTTTAATAGCAAAAAGTATTGAGAAGTGCAGTCCTTCTGGAAAAAATAATAATGTCCAACCTTAACAAGTGCCCAGCTCAAGTAAAGAAATGCATGTTCCATACTTGTAGGTTTCATTTAACTTATTGATGTACATAACAGGTTTAGCTATCAAATTATTTGTGTATGGCTTTTTCTGTGTTTAATAATAATTATTATTTATTATTATAGCTTCTTTTTGGAGAAGAGCATGCTGCTTTATTTCTTGAAGATGATGAATCAGAAATCCAATCAGATTTGTGTTCAACTTCTCCAGACTCTTAGTATCCTGTTTGAAAACATCAGAAATGAGACATCATTATGTAAGTTCAGTTAATAAGAATAATATTACTGTCAACTCTCTCATAGCGACCACTTCTCACAAGTGACCACCTCCGGTAAGCGACCACTTTGAAGATAACCATTTTGTCCCCCACTCAAATACTGTTTTACAAACTCTCTCGCAAGTGAAAACTAATTAAATTTCAAAAATGACCAAGACCACTTTTTAATACAGAAACTCAACATATTATTTTGTTTTCTGTTTCTCATAAGTGACTTGCCAGCATGATCACACATGATTGTAATAAAACCATTGCTCAAAATGTCACAAAAGTTCAGTTTTTGCGCTTCATTTGACCGACAAAAAAAGATGGCTGTAATACGATCTGTAGTTAAAAATGTGGATTGTAACATTGATGCAAAATGTTATGTACAAAGTTTCAACAGTTCCAAGTGCTATTCAATGTGAAACATTGTTGCCAGTTGTCTGTTTGCTCAAGTTTTAGCTTGTTAAGTAATGATTTTATTTAATCACGTTCAGTTTTAGCTTATGTTTTTGATTTTTCCCATAGATGACCAATTCCCATATAAGCCACCACTTTGTCATGCACCAATGGTGGTTGCTCACAAGAGAGTTGACTGTATTCCTAAATGTTTGTAGAATCCCATTTCGAAATCCATCTTTCGTCTTTTTGATAGAGTGCTTTCTCTCACATGATCCTTGGTTATGTTGTAGATGAAATCTGTTCTAAGGTAGGCTTGGATAAATTCTGCCGGCAGAATTTCGAGCAGGATAAGCGATTTTTGAGGCGAGCATTCTGTGGGCAGAATAAGGCATTTTCAAGCACAAAATGAGCAGAGAAAGGGAATATTAGTGGCAATAATGATATGCATAACAGTAATTGTAAAAAAAAATTAAAACTAAATAAAAAACAAGTGGAAAATACCTTGTGATTAATAAGATTATTTAATGGCTACAACGCTCTCACATTAAAAATAAGATGAATTAAAATTTTGCTATGCATAATGAATACATGTATCTGATTAGTTTTTAGGGAGTAGGCCCAGGATCTCTTCTATAATTGCGAAAATAAATACGGCCTGAAGGGCCGAAAATTCCAGCATTTGAGCATTCGAGCAGAATGAGGGTGTCCAAGCAGAATTTTGAGCAGAATAAGCGATTTCTATGAGCACTGCTGGCAGGCAGAATAAACCATTTTATGAGCAGAATTTATCCAAGCCTATTCTCAGGTCAAACCAGAATTTCCTTTGTCTTCTGTGAATAATTAGGGCCGAAAAAAAGGAAATTCTGAATCAAATGATGTTGATTACAGTTTTAACTGTTAGATTGGATTTTACCTACAGCTGTATTGTTTATTAGAAAAAAAGAAATAAAATTTATTTCTTTTTTGAATAATAACAATTTAATTGTTATTATTCATTGGTTCTAAGGTAAGTTAACAAACTGTAGCTAGTTTTGATTCTTGACTTGATTCGTTGATACATGATTCCTGCAACGAACNTTTCCTTTGAAATTAATTGACTTTCACCTTACTGAGTTTATTTTGTTGTTATCCTGGTATTTTTGTGGTTACTGTTATTTTTATACTGTCACTAAATTACCCATAGTTTCCAAAGAACATGTACAGGTATAATTATGGGGAAACAATACTTTTTGGGAATGGTAGATGAAAATTTTAATAGCAAAAAGTATTGAGAAGTGCAGTCCTTCTGGAAAAAATAATAATGTCCAACCTTAACAAGTGCCCAGCTCAAGTAAAGAAATGCATGTTCCATACTTGTAGGTTTCATTTAACTTATTGATGTACATAACAGGTTTAGCTATCAAATTATTTGTGTATGGCTTTTTCTGTGTTTAATAATAATTATTATTTATTATTATAGCTTCTTTTTGGAGAAGAGCATGCTGCTTTATTTCTTGAAGATGATGAATCAGAAATCCAATCAGATTTGTGTTCAACTTCTCCAGACTCTTAGTATCCTGTTTGAAAACATCAGAAATGAGACATCATTATGTAAGTTCAGTTAATAAGAATAATATTACTGTCAACTCTCTCATAGCGACCACTTCTCACAAGTGACCACCTCCGGTAAGCGACCACTTTGAAGATAACCATTTTGTCCCCCACTCAAATACTGTTTTACAAACTCTCTCGCAAGTGAAAACTAATTAAATTTCAAAAATGACCAAGACCACTTTTTAATACAGAAACTCAACATATTATTTTGTTTTCTGTTTCTCATAAGTGACTTGCCAGCATGATCACACATGATTGTAATAAAACCATTGCTCAAAATGTCACAAAAGTTCAGTTTTTGCGCTTCATTTGACCGACAAAAAAAGATGGCTGTAATACGATCTGTAGTTAAAAATGTGGATTGTAACATTGATGCAAAATGTTATGTACAAAGTTTCAACAGTTCCAAGTGCTATTCAATGTGAAACATTGTTGCCAGTTGTCTGTTTGCTCAAGTTTTAGCTTGTTAAGTAATGATTTTATTTAATCACGTTCAGTTTTAGCTTATGTTTTTGATTTTTCCCATAGATGACCAATTCCCATATAAGCCACCACTTTGTCATGCACCAATGGTGGTTGCTCACAAGAGAGTTGACTGTATTCCTAAATGTTTGTAGAATCCCATTTCGAAATCCATCTTTCGTCTTTTTGATAGAGTGCTTTCTCTCACATGATCCTTGGTTATGTTGTAGATGAAATCTGTTCTAAGGTAGGCTTGGATAAATTCTGCCGGCAGAATTTCGAGCAGGATAAGCGATTTTTGAGGCGAGCATTCTGTGGGCAGAATAAGGCATTTTCAAGCAGAAAATGAGCAGAGAAAGGGAATATTAGTGGCAATAATGATATGCATAACAGTAATTGTAAAAAAAAATTAAAACTAAATAAAAAACAAGTGGAAAATACCTTGTGATTAATAAGATTATTTAATGGCTACAATGCTCTCACATTAAAAATAAGATGAATTAAAATTTTGCTATGTATAATGAATACATGTATCTGATTAGTTTTTAGGGAGTAGGCCCAGGATCTCTTCTATAATTGCGAAAATAAATACGGCCTGAAGGGCCGAAAATTCCAGCATTTGAGCATTCGAGCAGAATGAGGGTGTCCAAGCAGAATTTTGAGCAGAATAAGCGATTTCTATGAGCACTGCTGGCAGGCAGAATAAACCATTTTATGAGCAGAATTTATCCAAGCCTATTCTCAGGTCAAACCAGAATTTCCTTTGTCTTCTGTGAATAATTAGGGCCGAAAAAAAGGAAATTCTGAATCAAATGATGTTGATTACAGTTTTAACTGTTAGATTGGATTTTACCTACAGCTGTATTGTTTA